TATTACAAATTGTGACTTTTTTTAATATCCTACCAGATAATGCAGATATAACCTAATTATTTTACTAGTTAACTATAATTACATTTCTCTCTTATTTTCTTTTAATAAAATTACTTTCTGCTTAAAAATCTCAATTTTTAAGTAAAGAACAACATGGCAGTTCTGCCAGCTTTTAGAGAGACTCTAAGATCAGTGACTTGTTTTAATTTTGCTTTATTTTGTTAGAGATTATCTTTGACTTTGCAAACCTGCTGAAACCTGAAAGTGAAATTTCTTTCACTCAACATCTTTCGACTGAGACAAATATAGGAATTCACATGAATTTTATTTCAACATAGCACTCATTCCCACTGCATTCCCCTGCAGCTTGCATTTAAATTCTAAACCTTCTTCCTAGATCAAGTCCTTTCAGAAACTTTAGGGTAAGGGAGAGATGTGATTTCTAAAATTTGCACAGCATTCTTCTGTTTCTTTTCTTTATTTATTTCTACCTATTTATTCTCCGTTTTCTATTGGAGGTTGTTTCCATTCTTAGTCTCATTAACAAGCTAGAAGCTAGAACCTGCTTTATATAAATACTAGCATAGCACCCGAAAAAATTCCTTGACAAGGTGAAATTGTAACTCACATGGCAAGTCTCTGACTCTACTACTCTTCACTGTATGGCAGCTTTTAGTCAAAAAAATAATGAATGGGCCCCATGTGCCAAAATCTACACTACTCTTCACTGTATGGCAGCTTTTAGTCAAAAAATAATGAATGGGCCCTATGTGCCAAAATCTACTAGTTAGTGTTATTTCATCTTTTTTTTTTTTTTTTTTTATTACAACCAAACAGAAATTAATCTCAAAGTTACTGGAGAGAACATCTGACTAAACCTTACAAGGGGCTGTATGTGGCCTCACCATGCCTTAGAGAGGTGTTAAACCTTACTAGAATGAATAGCTGAGCCCTGAACTGAGCTGATTGGCATGATTCAAATGAAAAGACATCAAAGACCTTTAGAAGACTAAGGACTATTTTTCTATAAGAGGAGAAAATAAAAAAAAAAAAAAAGAAAGAAAGAAAGAAGGGGGAGAGGAAAAATGTTTAGAGGATGCTTAATTTCCTAGAGTAGATTGATTAGTGTAAAAGTCAGATGGTCCAAGTATGCACAGCATACCAGAAACAAGCTCTTGATCTCTGAGTTTTACCAGTGACCTATTTTAGGGTAAGACAAAAAACTGTCATTTCTAATTCTCTGATTGTATCTGAAACAAGATGACAATGATTTCACACAAACTTAGTGATATTATTATACTGTGGGGGGTTGTTTTGCTTTATTTTGTTTGTTTGTTTGGGTTTTTAGCAGGGATATTGAAACTAAAATAAGTAGAATGAATATCAGAAATAATAGCTGTAGTCCACTATAACCTGTGTCACCTTAACACATTTTTTTTGAGCGAAACAGTTATGAGAGTGAGTAAGATTGTACTTGATTGATACTACATTGGGTCTTTTGATCTGTTAGACAAGATATAATAAGAGTGTTTCTGCTAGCAGTATGGTAATTTTTATTCTGACATCAATGACAAATACAAAAGACAAAATGCAAAGTCAATGAAATTAACATCTTTTTACTGCAGACTTGTTTAATTTCTTTCCTCATAGGCAAAGATACTTCAGCTAGAAGAAACACATGGCAAATAGAGTGGGGGTTTTATCATTATTTCCAATAAAGTTTCAATTATTTTTCTGCTAAAGAGAGTAAAATGTCATGACTATCTTCACAGAATAAAATATGCTTCTTTTAATACAAAAAATAGCAGGAAAACAAATCAAGAACTCGAGTATTATTTTGTAGTCACCTAAGTACCATATTATTTAAAAGCCACAAAATGCCAATTGCCCGGGTTAAAATAAATTCCCCTTTAAAAATTGACTATTAAGATTTTAATGAGATTTTTTTTCCATATGGACTATACAAAGTATCTTTACCATTACAAAATAAAGAAGTCACACACTTTATCTACCTTCTTGAATTTTAAGAAATGGCTTATCCAATTTAAGCCATTTAATTTTGGGATTGGAAAATAAATCCCCTCCCAACCTGACAATATGAAAGCCAGGCTTTAACTGAAAAAAAATGAAAACAGTCTAGTTACCCAAATCCCTTAAAATACTCAAAGATTCATTCTAGGACTAACCCAGTCTCCACAATGCACAGTAGTACTTGATAAAGTTGTTAAGTTCTGTGCAGCTTTTGGCTTTGGCGTTAAAAACACTGATGGTAGGATTGCTACTGTAGTACAGAACTTTCAACAACAGAAACATTTATCTGGCCATAAAAGTGCTTTCCAATGTAATACCGTTCATATAATTGCAATGCTAGGTTTGGCAACAACAGACAGGTGTATCTGAACTTGTAGGAAATCTTTTCTTTCAAGATGTGTGCAGCCTATTTTAGATGAGGGAGGGAAAATGGGAGCAAGATGATGGAGAAGAAAACAGGAAAGAAGAAAACAGGCCAGCAGTTGCTAAGTGCAATAGTACGGTGGTGGCTATATGCCCCTTCCTCCTCCCTCTAAGAATTCCAATGTTTTAAATGGCAGCTATTAGAAAGAATTAACTCCACACAGATTAGTCAAGTACAGCATGAGTAGAATGCAGTTCTAAGCTATTTTTTGATCTATACAGTTAATTATGATTCTAGCTTATCAGAACTGAATAAGCACTGTACTTCCTGTTGGAAACACATAGTTTTAGATAATTACATTCAGTAAAGCACTACATCATGTGTCAAGCAGCTGAGTTGAAATTCATTAATAAAAATCATAAGGAAACCTTTTAATTAAAGTATTAGGATATACTCTTTGTATTAAAAAACAACTTCTGAAAGTAGTGTGCTAACATTTTTAAAGTAAAGGACTTCTGAACTGCAACCTGATTTTAGTAATTTTAAAATCCAGTTGCTATAGTGCAGTGAATTGACATGTCTGAATGCTGCCCTCAAAATCCTCAAAAACAGCTAAGATCGAGAATTGAAGTAGACACATTATTGTCTCCAGAAAATAACTTGCAAGACCCTGCTTGATGTATGTTAAACATATATCTGACTTGTCTCACTCTGCCATAAAATGTAAGTACTCCAGATGACTGTACACAAAGTACACTAAAAAAAAAAAAAGAAAAAAAAAAAAGAAGGGGAAGAAAAAGAAAAAGAAAAAGAAGAGCATTATTCACTTGGCACAATAGCAAAATAAACACTTCCTAAAAATATATAGCTGTATTAAGTTTTTCTTTATGGAATATTAAGCACTTAGGTAAGGGAGCAGGTGTTGTATCCGAAATCATTATGTTCTGCTTTCAGTTTTCTGGATTTGCAAAACAGGGACATTTCCACTATATGCACGGTGGTAATCTCAGATCACTGTCATAATTTTCTGATTTTGAATTCAATCACTTCACAGAGAAAAATCACATCACAGGGAGGAAAATCTGATTATTCTCTTCCAAACTCTTCCAAAATGTACTCCTTAAAAAGAAAACTCAGGATTGCCATGAGCCAGAGTCTAAGTGCTAGACTCAGTTTCTACTGCTCATCAGGAGGACACCCTGGAAAATACCTAGACAGTGCATCCCTATTTTCTGATCAGAAAAACTTCAGATGCTGATTCTACACAAAACCTGAAAAGTGCCTGAACTACACAAATTTTGTGAGGTTTAGTGATTCTTCTAAGAAATGTCAATCTGGTTATACAGGGACTGAATATAATTTTCTGGGAAATAAGACTAACAAAGATTTACTATGTCCCAGATAACGTAGTACACAAGAAACTTACGACCAGATTCCGGATGGGTGGTGCTAGGGCATTTCTAGGCAGCCTGGAGGCAATGTTAGGCAGTGACACAGGACTGCATGGTACCTGCATACCTGTTTCTCTTTCCATACATGTGAATAAAAACTTCGCTGTCAATCTATGCTGTTGAATTTTTTGAGCATTCACACTTGCCATATGTCAGCATACTCAAGCACAAAGCCACACAGACATGAACTAAATAAATAGAGATCAAATGTATCTTAGGACAAAAGTACTAACCTTTCACCCAAATTCTCATCAAAATATCATAAAATTCACCGAATATAAGCCCCCAAATGTCTGGCAGAAGTTGGGGATGAGGGCTGTGCTTGCTTAGGTACCAATAATCTAGATCATGAGAAGAAAACTTCAACAGTAATTTCTTCCACACATATAGTAATCTTTCCTTTCCCCATCCTAAACCCTCACTATTTTTCTTTCATTAAATAATTTTAGCTATCTTCCTTATTTACCTTCTAATGGTGTATATAGCTCTCTCCTGCTCTCTCATGCTAATTTAATAATGGCTTTCAAGAAAAAAAAATTCCAAGAACATTAAGTAGAAAAGAATAAATAAAATTGAAGGTCTTTCTGTGAATTTTTATGCTTTCATGCCTGATCTGGGAATCCTTCCTATCTTCATTAAGATACTTAAACATGGGAAGAGAGGTTCAGCTCACAAATCGCATATGCAGACTTTCTTTGCAATATAGGATACACTCTCAACATATGAGACCTGAAAGTTTGACGCTGGTAAATTTGAATTTCCATTTGTCCCCATGATTTCTTGGCTGATGCTTCTTTTCAATACAAACTCTGCTGTGCAACCATACGTAAACTTTTTGCCTTTCTGTTAAGCCCTACAGGAACTACATTATTTTCTGGAGGCTAGAATATTCTTTTGAGTTGTACACAAGCTTTTGAACTCCAGTGGCACTTGAAGCTGTCACCAGAATAACAGACTCTTACCTTTACATCCTACAAATTGCTGTAGAAAAAGTATGTGCATGCATACACAAAGACAAACACAGATTGTGCACACATGCCTATGTAGACAAATAGGTACCACTATTGTATGTATCAATCCAGTTCCTATTATTTAAAGATACTAGTAAGAATGGAAAGAATTGAAAAAACAAGACCAGAACAGATATTTCTTACCATGAGCCACCCAGCCATGTTTACACTGATCGCAGGTTCTCAGGTTAATCTTCCCTGGCTGAAAACATTCACATGTGCAATTTACCAGTGTACAGCGGATGGCCTGGAAAAAGAAACAGAAAACACATGTTAATCTATTTATTTCTTCTTGTACAAATTTGCTGTGATAGCTAGAATGATATGAACTGCATAGAAAACCCCAGCCTTCCAACATTCAAAGCCTCACTCCTATTTTAAGTAGAAAATAATTTTCTTTCAAAAACATACGTCAGTATGTCCCATGGAGATTAATAAATTCCTGAAATCTTTTTAAGATTTGCTCTAATTTCTTTACAAAAAAAAAAAAAAAGGGGGTAGGATGCGGATGCTGTAGGAGTTCCATAAATATCCTGGTTTTACATTGACTTCATGAAGAAAGTTACTAGGGATGTCTTACCATAGGAGCATACCAGTTTGAAATCCAGATAAAAATTAGGAAACAAAAATATATGGAAACAAAAACTATAAATATACTTCCCCTTCCTTACGGAATCCAAAGGTTATTTTTTAATATCCTTTTTGGGGTTCACCTAACATATAACTCTGCAAAAAGAAGTAATGGATTTTATGTGTTCCCAAAACAATGAACTGATCAAGGTTCAAGAATAGGACTGGTTCAAACAACATCCTGTAACTTGTCTTTACATCTCTCACTTTCCCCAGTATCTAGGAATAGCTTTTTACCTCTTAAAACTCTTCATTTGTTAATGCATTTCTGTGTTTTAAAGTAGGAATAGTGAAACTCCAGTCCCATGCAGAGATCTCAAATTTGCTTAATAATACACCTTCCTTAATAACAGACATTCTCATCTTCCTTTTTAGAGTTATTTCAAAAATTACACAGGTTTACTTTGACACGGGCTAGCAACAGCCACAGAAAAGTGAATATAAATTGAATGAGGCTCTTTCTAATGTAACAGACATATGTTTTTAAATAGTGTAGAAGATGACCTGTGCACTTCAAACTGCTACTAATAAATTTATGGCATGCATTTAGTTATAATTTGCATGGAGATTTCTGAGACAAAGAGGCTTATTCTGATCATTCTCAGATTAACAATCTACTGTAACTACCAGAGCTGCCAGGAAAAGATATCTCTATAGATTTAGATGCAATCAATGATTACTTGGGGGCTAAGGTGGGGGAAGGGTGCTTGGTACGCATTGCCACAGAGATACCAAAGAATTATTAAGACTCTTGCCTTTTACAAAGAATTAGTACACATATTTTCCATACAAAAAATATTATCTTAACTGTAGTGGCTTTAAATAAATTACATTCAGCATTATCTTGGCCTGGCTAAGCTCCTTGGCTGCTGACAATGAAAAAGCTTCGGAATGATTTTAAATGTTTGATCCCTTCACTTTTTAATCTGCATCAGAAGAAATGTAAAGACATTTATAGTTCATGCATACATTTAATATCTGTATTTCTCTGACAAATTTCTGTTACAAGAATCCTTTATTCCTCTTATCCTATCTGCTCCTTTACAACCTTTTACTCTCAAAAACCTAGTGAGAGAAAAAAATCCTGCTCTATTATGCCTGACACTTCAGGGCCTCAGTCTCAATGTCACCTGTCCAATTACTCATTAGCCAGGTTATAAAACATTGCTCTATGGATGCATGATTAAAAGAATTAGTAACACGAAATATAAGGGTACCAAAGAAGTGCTGACCATGCAGGAATAATATATGTGTTTGTGGGTTATGAGAAAAAAAATCTCCTGGAAGGTCCTGTTTCATGTTCAATAGTGTATTGACCTGGTAATATATCAAGACTACACTGGTCAGTAATGGTGTTCTTTTGCTAATATGTTCATTAATTAATGAACTCAGTAATTAATTGTACTGCAAGAAGGAGGTCTTTCAAAATGATATTTTTGTTTTGACATAGAAGATTTTCTCATTTTCACCACTTTTTTCAGATCCCTGCACTGATGTCAATACAACATTGGTTGTATTTATGATATTTTAATTTCTTCATGTGTCATTTACAGTACATGTAAAAGGTGTAATATAGTGCAGTACATGTACTAGATCAAACTCTGACATTTTGAAGAGTTGCTTTATTAAGGCTCATCAGCATTTCCATTACAACCCTATCCACTTTTGGCCTAGAGGTCAACAGGTTGCCTGTAAAAATTTGATTCAGCTTGGACCTGAAATATAGTGTTGAAGCTTAAGAGTAAGTTTTATTAAACCCATTCAAAAATTACCCATTTAGCCACTACAGATTATAAACGGGGTGGGGGGGGTGTGAAGTTTAGAGGTTACATGTTTCTTTTCCTCTTTTCTGAATGAAATAGAGTATTGATTATGCAAAGTGTTGAACTAATTAATTAGTATGATTTCTATCTTTTATACATACTGCCAAAAAAATTCACCCACGTTTTTCAGAAACATGAGAATATCAGCTATTTCCTCCAACAAATAAATTAGAAAGTCTTCAAAAAGAGCTATGCATTTTAATAAATTAATATCGATTGGCATGAAAAAATCAAAACATAATTAGCATGGCCAAAAGATTCAGCCTGGCCTTACTTGGCTGCTTTTTCTGCCAAGGGTGTATATTGATGCCAGGTTGTAATTTGGTTTGACTAGTTTCCCATTCCACCACAGAGAATCCCATGCATACTTCTGAATGATGAGGATTACCCCTCAAGCTGGAAGATGCTCATTTAGGACCAGAAATACTAATTCTAATTCATGTTCTGGCATGATGTTGGGCAAATTATTTTGTTAGCCTGATGCCTACATTCCCTAAACAACAACTAGACACAATGACATTAAGTGTTGCCAGGGCAGATGCAAGATAAATTTGGAGCCATTCTCTAGTAGCAGAGGCTATTGAAAGTCTCAAGTAGAATTTTATCTTTATTTCAGAGATTAATTTTTCACTTTGCTTAGTTAATTCAGAATTACCGTAACTACCTGAGATTGCTACAATACCCAACATGAAGCCAATGTAATTAACTCAGTGACAATTCTGAATTGTCTTCTTCTCAGGAAGATTCAAGATGCCAAAACCAGTGTGATATCCTACACATAGCATCAGAACACTAACATTCATTAACATAAAAGAAAGAATTGTGCTTTAAGACCTTCATAATACAACTAGCGAATTTACAAAGCCTTACAGAGATATGCATCACCATGATGAACTAGTATTTTCCACCTGTTTTTCAGTTCTATTTAACTTGGGAGCAGAAGCCACTGACAGCTTGTGCAACAGGCTCAGAAAGGCCAGAAGGGCAGCTGAAGGTGAATGTGGCATAGATTAACCTAAGAAACCAAAGTCTGAATGCAGACCCCCATTCCTCAGCAGCAGGATTTTAAGGTACAGTAGCTGGTATTCCTGTAGGTAGCTGAGTGGGTTGGTGTAACTGTGGTTGGACATTTGGTACTGATCAGTTTTAAAGGGATGGGGTGGGAAGTGGGGAAGATAAAAAGATCTTCATTGTAGCAGCTAAATATTGCAACCATTGTTCCAACCTGTTAAAGTGTAGGTATAAAAATCCAAGGGTGTACCAATGTTAGAATTTGGCAGAAAGTGCTTCTGAAAGAGTTTAGCTGGCATCCCACAAGTCATGCACTGTAATGGTGCCTTCCCAAGATTTTGATACAAAAGTTTATGCAATGGCACTTTACATACTACACTATTTTCTAGGGAAAGAAACAGAAATTTTCCCTGACTGAGATTTTTCTCAGGAACTTCCCCAAGAAAGCCAGAAAGAAAAGAAACCAGTGAATAGTGAAAGGAATGCTAAAATCAGAAGACACAGACTCCCATGTATTAGCTCATAGACAACCATGTATTTAGATGACAACTTAGAGGTTAACACCTTAAGTATGCAACAAAACACAATTTCCTACATACACCTCCTTGAAACATGCATGCTGTTATATTTTACCATGTCAATGGCCTGCAGTTAACAGGAATGCTCAGACATTTTTATACATACCTTTCACTGAGTTCCTAACATATTGCTTCTTGTATTTCCATCAAAATTACAATGGCCCTTGAGGACCTGTGCATGAAATGGGCTGGACTTCAGCAAAATAATTTAAAATAGTTACATTGCTGATTCCTTAAATCCTAAATTTTTTTAATTGACATGAGAAATATCCTGCAGCTCTCTTTTGAGATGCTCTTCCTGTAAAGCATAATGCAAAAAGAAAGGAACTGTGCCTAATATTAAAGCATGATGTCAGTACACCTATACATAAATTTGTATGGCTATTAAAAGATCTGGCTTCTCTGGGTTTCTCCCAGACCAAGGATATTAATTTAATATTGTTTGGGTAATTTTATTATATCTAAAAAGTAAGCGTTATTCACATGTTAATAGAAATAGCCCACAACAGTAATGGAAAAAACAATCTTTCTGGCTATTCTGCAGAGTTTCCAAGAGATGAAAGTCAATAAGCTGCCATGGGATGACAGTGTGGAGAGAAGAAGGAGAGTATGTAAAGAACAGATATGATTCCTTCTCTGGATTAGTTACAAGTGGTCATAATAGATGGAGATGGTTTTAAATGATGCAACATTCTGGAGAGACAGACAAGTTTTGCAACAAAACTTTTAAATGTAACTCATGATGAGGCTTCAAGAGTTCTGTGAGGTTGAGTAGCATCTTATTGAAGTATCAACTACATCTTTCTATGCAGTGGCAGTGATAAAGAGTCTTATTCCTAATGTCCTTGCCTCACCTTTCTCAAGTGCCTTTAAAAAGGTATTTAAAAATGTCTTCTTTCTACATCTATATCACTGTGCACCTGAATACATAATGGAGTCAACTATACTCATTCTCTGCATTGATGTTCCATCTACATTTCTAATGCATCTCCTGTACATTTACACCACAGAGCACACACAATCTAAATCCACTGTTAGCAGCCACAGAAGCATGAGGCTTGGAGATAATTTGGTCCTGTGAAATTCTTTTAGTGAGACTGCAAACCAGCAAACTGGTACATAAGTGCAGTTCTTGACAGCTGCATTAAAATCTGTAAGACTAAGCAAGTAGGCACCCTAGACTAAATGTGTTAGTTAGCAAAAAT